AAGTGGGTAAAATGTTGTGGTGTTGAGTATCGTGTTGGACTCTTTGTTTGCACGGGTACTGATGAAAACATGCCAGTTTTCAACAAAATAACCTCAATCATTTTACACAATGGTAAAGTGTTTTTTGTTTTGATTGAGCATGAAACATGTTTCCATGATCACTTCCATGCTTTTCAAGTGACTGAAAACCTACCAATGAAGGTACTGGTTATAGAAAGGGAAAGATTAAGACATTTCAAATCTTTTGATGCCCAAATGTCATACGGGTGTGATTCACAATTTTATGTTGTATCAGAGAGTTGTATTATCTGATTTCTTATTTAAATGAGTTCACTGTGAAGTTGTTCCTGGTTACTTCATCTGATATAAGTGTCTACCTCAGGTTACACAATCCTGCACTACTTTTTTTTCTTTTTTTTTTTTTATGTAATCCTGCCGGCTTGATTTTATATACTGCAGTGATGTGTTGACAATGTTTTATACAATTTTACTAAGCAGTTTTAGTTGGCACTCTGTTAGCTGCCTACATGTATTAAATTTAAACGTTTTGCTGTTAGATTTTACAGTATTTTATGACCACAATTATTTTCGAAGTGTATCCATGCATGGAATTTCTAAACCTAATCTATGGATTTGCTCAAATAAAAGCAGTAAGTCAAGAGTATGGCATTCAGTGTAGTCATGTTCACATAAAACATTATTGTGTGAAGTAAATGTTAACTCTAAGAAGTGTTAAATTGAATATTTTTAAGTGTTGATTTTACCACTGGTAAGGAGTTCATATTAAACTCCATTTTAGAGTTACAGTTACTCTCTGTAGGATTAGTATTTTAACTCCAGAAATAGTTAAATTTTAACTCCAAAAAAAGTGTTAAAATTTTAACTGCAAGAGAAGAGTTATTTTAACTCCGCACTGGAGTCTATTTGATGGTCACGCATGTACACTCAGATTGAGTTGATTTTAACTACCAGGGAGTTTATTCCAAAGACCAGAATTTGCTGTGTGGAATTAAGGTCATAAATGAATGTCATTTTAAAATTCTCCTTCCACTCATCGTAGGGTGACCAGACATCCCGTTTTTCCCGTGACAGTCCCGTATTTCAGCTCTATTTTTAGTGTCCCGACCCGTATTTTAATTTTTTTTTATGACTGGGTGATCAGGGCAAGTAGCAGCACTGTTCTGTCACACGAGAACAGCCTAATCAAAGGCAGCCAAGCTCGTAGTAGAACAAAATTACCATCCAATCACAATTCATTATCGATTAACTTGCAGTTAGTGAAGGCGGGACAGGCGGAATCATGCTGAATGACACACAACAGAAGCGCGCGCCCGTTATCCCAGTTCTCTCAGACAGCACGCGATCAGTTCTCCTTGTGCCTGAATTGTCAAATACACACACAGTTGTCAAAATGTCCATCGTGTGGAGTTATCTCACATAAATACAGTCAGTTATGGCTTAAGTGAACGTAAACAGGTGGGTGAAAATCAGATATGTGTCAGAGGTCGCATTAACCAAAAATTTTCCGTCATTGACGGAATTTTTTTATCAGTGACTGAAGTCTGTCCGTCACTTTGACAGATTACACTAAGGCCCAATCCCAATTCTATTTTATACCCCTTCCCCTAACTATATTTATTGTAATTAGCAGATATTTATTAACTATACTGATGATGCATAGACAAACATTGAACTGGTTGTTGGTCGAAAAAGGCGTATGTGTAATGTTTAGAACTGATTGTTGTACTTATATTTCAAATAGTACAGCCTCAGCTGGATCATTCACCAAAGCTATGGAGAAACTGAAAAACTTGAGAGATGAAGTGACTCAGAACGCTGGAACAGACATGCATACTTGGGATTGGTTTGATTCACTTTTTGGGACTTGGGGAGAATGGTTAACCAAAGTGGGGATCATAATAGGCATTGTCGTTGTTGTATTTGTTTTGTTGTTTTGTTGTTCTGTTGTATTGTGCCTTTCATCAGATCAATGCTGGCCAGTGCTGCAGCCAAACAGATGATTAACGTGTCAGTGAAGCCAACTGGAATTGACATTGGGTGTACCAACTTGCATACAGTGGGACCTGGACTGGATGAGCTGGATGAATTTGTGTAAAACCTTCCTGA